AAATGTTTCCACGTCCATCGCTGCTTCCTGGCACGGGTTCTGGGACGCCGAGTCGTTTCTCCACCACTACATGTGGTGCGTGGGAACCACCGCAGCTCCAAACGAGTGCTCCGTGCTGACTGCTACAGACGTGGGACTTAGAACCGCCGCAAGGACTCAGCTGGAAACGGCGTTAGATTCTGGTAAGAATTATCTTATGGTTTGAAACTCAAATACTTACTTAAATGTAATGAACCGATTGATATTTCATAAATCAAACATCGTGCATATCATGTGCCAGTGTGATGTAATCTCTTATTTGTGAAACAGTAGATACTACTAGTATACTTAAACATCTTTTGACTCTATCGCTTGTCAGGTGTGAAGTATTACTCGAAAGTGTACGCCGTTGACGCTGCCGGTTTGCAGTCAGCCGTCGCTAAGTCCGACGGTATGACCATCGACACCACAGCTCCAGTCCTGATGGAAAAGTTGGAGGTCGGACAGAACATTGTACAAGACTTCTCATTCGAGGAGTCGTCAAGCCAACTCCGTGTGGAGTCAGGAGACGCGCTGGACTTCAGTTCACTCCCGTCCTTTACGTCCTCACACTGGACGGTTGAGGAAGGCTCAACCGCTGCGGTTTTGAACGCGTCTGCAGGGGATCACGGGATCAATTTCCTGTACCTAGCTGGTTCCATCTCACAGCTGCTTAGCACAACCACAGGCAGCAAGTACCGAATGACGTTATCATTAAAGCACAACCCCTATGTAAAGAACAAACGCTCAGACGAAGAAGTCCTGATAGTAGCTCCTGGGGTCAGCAAGATCGTTCAACTGTACCACCGACCTGGCCGACATGATGCACAGAGTGAGAACCGGTGGCAAAAAGCCACGATGTTCTTCACGGCAACGAGCGGGTCGTCCGCCATTTCTATAGCAACGCCGGGAAGAACGAGGGGGGTCCTCATTGACAACGTGGACGTTCGGCTGTGCAATGTGATGGAGGTTGGGGAGGGAATGAGCAGCAACAACAGCGTCCATGTCGAACTGGAGATCATCCATGGCTTCAATTCAGTGTT